TCCAGGCTGCCTGGGATTCTGAAGACGGCACTTACAAGACTCACAGTTTCACCTTCTGTTACGCATAAGCTCACGATGAGCCAGAGGAGTCAGTGACTAGTTCTCTGTTAATTCAACGTAGAAACCCGGTTCTCGGTATGATGTGATTTATCATAAGATCTGCAATCAAAACCAAGTACCTCTGGATGCAAAGACTTAGATTCAAACTCACAGGAAAGCTGTGGAGCGTCTCTTGCTAAAAGTGGCACCGAGGAGAGGGTCACATCATAGTTTTGTCTAGATTGCTTGAAATTTCCTTCTACAGTGAGAATGTGCATGGGCTATGAATGAAAAAGCACTGATAGAGAAAATGTAACACATATTTGATGTCTTTTCCCTTCCCCTTATTTATTGGTCATCTGGCCTACCCATATGACCCAAGGCTTTGGAAGGTCATATTTTAGGGATTTAAACCTTTGAATGTGTAGATAAGCCCCACTTACTGATAAGACACTCAAACTCGATGCCTTTCAAATCAGAACAGAGTCACGGCTGGCCCTCCAGTGGGTTTTCAAGAGGCCGTAAATCACATAGGAGAAGATTGCTTATCTTTTCCCTGCCCAGGGACTGGTGGATTTGGATCACCTGCCTCCGGGCTGGCAGTGCAATTCCTTACTAAGCCACCAGAGGTCTCTCTGGTTACTAACACTGTTGTGTGCTGTCCAGTCAGAACCATGTCACAGCTGACTCTCCAGCAGGTTTTCAGAGGCTGTAAATCACTCAGGAAGAGCATGCCTGTTTCCTGCAGAGCAGCTGGTAGATTTGAACCACGTCTTTAGATTGGCAGCTCAACTCTTGCCAACTCTGGTGGCCTAGTGGTAAGAAGCTGCACTGCAACCCCAAGGGCACACTGTTCAAATCCACCGGCTGTTCCACAAAAGAAAGATGAGCCGTCTCCTCCCGTGAGATTGACTGCTTCTGAAAACCTGGACGGTCAACTCGGCTGATTCCGACTCAACGGCACATGGCAATAATATGGTTTCTTAAAAGGAGCTTTGGTGGCGTGATGTATCAGATGTTACGCTGCTAACCAAAAGGTTGGCAATGTGAATCCGTCACCTGCTCCTTGGGGTTCAGATACACAGTGTCCACTTTGCAGCCTCAGAAGCCTGATGCAGGGTTATAAAGTGACAGAACTGATAGAACTCGATGTTGATGGATATGGCATTGCTTACAAAAAGACTTTTAGACTCAAAAGCTTTAGTACTAACAAAGCTTCTAAAATGTAAACATGTTTTCACCTGGCAGAATGCAATAATCAAAACAATTTTGAACCTGTTTGCTAAGGAGAGGGTACATGGAAATGGGTATGCTGATAACAGTGGTTGGTACAAGCTATGAAGGGCATTTACTATCTAACAGAAGTGTAGTCTCTGCCATACCATTTTCACTGCCAGGATCTATTAGTCACAAATGCACAGAAACACACATTTACTACAAATGTTATCATTGGTAAATTCATAGAGACAGACCAAAGAACGGGAGTTACCAAGAGCTTAAGGAAAGGAAGAGTTGAGAGCAATAGTTTAAGGGACTGGTTCCTTTTGAGGTGATGGAAATGTTCTGGAATTAGATAGACCTGGTGGTTGGTTAAACAATATCATGAATGCACTACGTGATGCTCCCTATTGAATGGTCAGTATTATGTTAGGCTAATTTCCTTCCAGTAAAGACAACACACTTGCCAAAAACATTCGCCATTGAGGGAGCTCTGGTGGCCTAGTGGCAAGAAACTGCACTGCAATCCCAGAGATACGTGGTTCGAATCCACCAGCTGCTCTGCTGGAGAAGGAGGGGCTATTTCCTCCTGTACCAGTCAGATCCAGTTTGACAGTACACACAAATAATTAATAATAATAAAAAACCAACCCACAACATTCACCATAGCATTATTTATAAGAGCAAATGCCTAGAACCCTCTGAGATATTCACAGATGGGTCAGGTACTGACAAATGAGCAGCAATAGAATGGATGAGGGGGCGGATTTGAGGTGGTGTCAATTAGCTCATGGCTTCTTGGTGGGATAGAGGAGAGTCATGGATAAGGACCAGCCTCTATCCCAGACAGCAGAGTGGATGACTGACCCCTTAACCGAGACAGAAGAAGGAAGAGGTGAGGAAGGGAGGTTTCGCAGAAGGTGCTCGTGGGATTAGTTAGGTAGAGATAGTTGTAAGTAGCCTCCATTCAGGAGCTCGTGTGAAGAAAACCAATTAATTGGAGTAGTCTGGAGTAAGAAGGGAGTGATTGTTGAGAGAAAAGAAGAAGGGAGGCAGGCTATAAAAGGTGCTATGATGCATATGTTGTTCTTGTTGTCGAGTAGTAGACTACTCATAGGAACCCTAAGAACAAAAGACCTGAACACTTGTATAACTTTCATAATTTCTCTGAGTTCATAGAGTTTCCAGAGACAAGGTATTTCGGAAGTGGATATCAGTCCTGCTTCCAGGCCTGTTTGATGCGTACATATGATTCTAACTGAATGTACCATGGACTGCCAGGAAAAGAAACCGATTCATCTTGGAGAGGATTAAACCCAGCTACTCCTTGGAGGCAAGGATTCTGGGGCTTCGTCTGACATACTTTGGACATGTTGTCAGGAGGGACGGGTCCTTGGAGAGGGACATCATGCTTGGGAGGGTGGAGGGGCAGCACAGGAGGGGAAGACCCTCTATGAGATGGATTGATTCGGTGACTGGGGTAATCAGGATGGGTGTGTCAGAGGCGGTGCGGTTGGCGCAGGATAGAGCAGGGTTTAGGGCTGTTGTGCATAGGGTCGCTATGAGTCGTAAACGACTGGACGGCACATAACAACAACAACAGAATTTCCTACTTCACAAACAAAAGCCCTGAGATGAGTTTAAAGACCAAGGTGTGTCTGATTCAAGCCACAATATTTTAATTTGCTTCCTATGCATCTGGACGTTGTACAGTGAATTAAGATGACAGAAGAAGAATTGATGCCTTTGAACAATGGTTCTGGAGAGAAGTTCTCAGTATCCCATGGACTGCCAAAAAGGACAAACAAGTCTGTCTGGGGGAAGTGCAACCAGGGTGCTCCTTAGAGGCAAAGATGGCAAAACTTCATGCTTTGGGCAGGTTTTTAGGAGGGCCTCGTTCTTCAAACAAGGTAGCATGCTGAAAAATGTAGTGGGCATTGCAAAAGACCTTCAGCAAGATGGACAGACACAGTGACTCTAACACTGCATTCAAAGGTGGCGGAGATCCCAAGAACAGAGATGGACAGGGCTAGGTCTGCCTCTGTTGCTCATAGGATTGCTGTGAGTCCTAGTTGACTTCTGGTACCTAACAACATCAGAGTTATACAGCATTTAGGTTGGTTAAAGTAGGATTGGAACTCTTGCGTCTTATTGCAAGGTCAATACTCATTAAACCAAAACACCTCTTCTATGTGATTATCACAAAGGCATTGGGTGTGATCCACACACTATCACAAAAGAAGGGAAACCACAGAGGTGCACAGGACACCAGAGTGCAGTGACGATACAAGCATTGCATGTGACTAATGTCATAAAATAAATATATATAAATGCTTGAATGGAAAACAGATTTGCTCTGTAAACTCTCAAACCACAAGAAAGAGAGACAGACAGACAGAAAGACGCCTAGAGTCCTGACTTAGCTAACTTAAAATGAGTCATGATAAGAAAGTTCCATGGAAAGTCAGAAAAGCCAAATACCTAGTGTTGATGGGTGTTTGTAATACATATCCATCTGTGAAATGGGACAGTAGGAGAGTTAAGCATCTCTAATATCCATATCGATGTGGAGGCTGTGTAGCATATTAACACAATCTCATTTGTTGTTATTGTTGTGTACCGCTGAGTTGGAACCAATCCACAGCTGACCCTCCAGAGAGTTTTCAGAGGCAGTTAATTGAACAGAAGTTGATTATTATTATTTTCCCAAGGAGTAGCTGGTGGATTCGAACGGCATACCTTATGATGACAGCATGTTTCCTTACCACTAAGGCACCAAAGCTCCCAATCTCACTTGTTGCTGTTATGTGCTGTCAAGTCGACTTTAACTCATAGTGACCTTATATGAACAGTAGCTTGGGACCCTGAGCCAACCTCGCCGTCTCTGACACACCAGCCGCCATTGCCACAATCACCGTGTCAGTCCACCTCGTCCAGGGGCTTCCTACACTCTCACTTAGTCCTCATCAAAGCTGGTGTGAGTAACTTCTGTCCCTGTCTCTCTCACAAAGGAGGGCAAGGGCTCCGAGAGCTGGAGTGCCTTGGCCAAGTTTACAGAGCAATTAACTGAAGTGCTCTGCGAATGTTTTTCCTCCTGCCTCACTGTCTGTCCCCCTCAGGGGATGATGGTGTCTAGCTGCCAACCCCAGAAGGCTTCACCTGAGAATTGGTGAGGCTCAGGAACCTGCCTTCTTAAAAGGCGAACTGAGGGTTCTGACGTAAACTTCGAGAAGCACCATCTGGGTGCGTTGAGATCAACGTACTTTGGCAACCCTTGTCTATGCATTGAGAAATATCCCTTGGTCATAGGGTCACTACGAGTCAAAGTGGACTCAGCGGCACCTAACAACAACAATTGATTGCTAGGAGGTCTTTTTTGGCAGCAGAGGGCCAATTTTCGTATCTAAATGCTCAATATTAATATCTAAACATCTCTTTTTGATTTTCAAAATTTACTTAATTCATGGATGTTTTGTTTTATAACTTTAATTAGAGTGCATCAGTGCAATTAATTGCAACGGATAATCAAATTCGGATTCTTTCTTGCCTTGACTTACCTGTTAGTCAATGTTTGCTCCCCCTCCCCCCTTTGGCCTCCCCATCAGCCCTGCAACACTGATTGCATTGTTAGTGTTTATGATGGTGGTTTTTGCCGTCTTCAAGGGTGTAGGCCGACTCTTGTTTCCTCAGTGATGTCAGGAAACCCCGATGGCTTTCCCAGCTTCTCCTTTCTCCTCTCCTAGGCATCAGCAGCAATCGGCTGGGCGTGTGCGGCTGGATCCTGTTCACGCTTTCTCTCCTGCTCATGATCATTACCTTCCCCATCTCCATATGGATGTGCTTGAAGGTAATATCCTGGGAAGCATCGGGATTGCCCTGTGAACTGGTGAGCCATTAACACCAAATGTTCTCCCTTAATCTCTCAGGTCGTTAAGGAGTACGAGCGAGCTGTTGTATTCCGGCTGGGGCGCATCCAAGCTGACAAAGCCAAAGGACCAGGTAGGACAGCGTGGCCGCCCTCACAGAGCTCCGTGGGCACCTGTTCCTACGGCGACTGCCACCCTTCCTTCCCCTGGTGGTGTCCCAGGCACCTCAGACTGGAGAGTTCTTGCCAAGTCTAATAAAGAATGAGGACAGGAGGCACAATCTTTTAGGCAGACAGAGCTTATTAGAGAGAAAGGCCAGGTTTGTGAGGGAGAACAGAATGATAACACAAGTCTTTGGCCTTGTGGCGGCATTTTGTGTCGTGGTGCTGGAGAAGAATGTTGAACACACTGTAGATGGCCAGGAGAACAAACAAGTCTGTCCTAGAGAGGGTGAAACCAGGCGGATCCCTGGAAGCATGGATATATAGGCTCTGTCTCACATCCTGAGGGCACATGGCCAGGAGGGACCAATCCTTCGAGATGGATATCATGCTTGGATAGATAGGTAGAGGGACAGTGCAGGAGAGGAAGACCCTGGATGCGATGGATCAACTCAGTGTCTGGAGCAATGGGATTAGTTCTGTGGGAGATGATGACATTGGCTCAGAGTAGGATGCTAGTGTACATAGGGTCGCTATGAACTGCAGGTGACTTGATGGCACATAACAACAACAATAGAGCTTTACCGTTGTCTGGGAACTAATGGAGTTTTCTGGAGACTGGACTGTCTAGGAGGAGTTATGGACACGAGAGGCACATGCGTTCAGTCTTTCAAGACAGATTCCATCATAAGGCTTCTGAACACCAGTCACGGGATGAGGCACATTCATAGTCTCTGTGGATGCAGGTTTGAGTCCTGCCCCAGCAGATGCTCTACTGCCTCTCGGGAAACCCAAATTCTCAAAACCCACTGCTGAGTCAGAACCAATGTATAGCTGACCCTCTAGCAGGTTTTCAGAGGGTGTGAATCACACGGAGGAGATTGCCCATCTTTTTACTGCAGATTAACTGGTGGATTTAAACCCCTGTCTTTGGTTTAGCAGAGCAGTTCTTCGCCCCATAGGCCGACAGAGCTGCCTCCAGAGATAGGGCATACAGTGGTCAGTGAGTGGTGGACTGCACAAGGTTAAGAAATCCATTTAAGCAGATTTAACATTAAAAGGCAGCCTAACAAAAACTAAGTACTGATTGCAGCAGGGTGTTGTTGTTCTTATGTGCTGTCGAGTCAACTCCAACTCATAGCGACCCTATGTCCAACAGCTCTGAAACCTGCCCAATCCTGAGTCAGTCTCACAGACTCAGACACACCTACCCCCATTGCCCCAGTTACTATATCAATCCATGTCATCCAGGGCCTTCCTCTCTTGTGCTGTCCCTCCACCCTTCCAAACATGATGTCCCTCTCCAAGGACTGGTCCCTCCTTACAACATGTCCAAAGTATGTCAGACGAAGCTTCAGAATCCTTGCCGCCAAGGAGCCTGGTTAGGCCTGCTTCATTGGAGGGAAACATCTACCTTGTGGTTTTCTGATTTAAAATCTTGCCACCCTCCCTGAGATGCGCCTCTGCCTGCCCTATCTCCGGGGAGAGTCAAAGAAAACGTACAAGCAGCTGGAGCCATTGCCTTTCCATAGACTATAACAAACCAACCAACTGCCATTGAGTCAATGCATGGTGATTCCAGGTGTCTCAGAGGAGAAGCGCACTCCTGGGGTTTTAAATCTTTAGCAGACATTGTGAGTGGGGATTTTACTGAGATTCCATCACTATCTTGCCATATTATATAACCTGGAATGTTGCTGGATGCTGCCCAAATATGCTGCAATTCTAATGTCGCAAAAGATGGTGGTTCTTTTATAAAGATTCTCATATGACATATTTTGGACATGTTGAAGGAGGGACCAGTCTTTGGAGATGGATGTCATGCTTGGGAGGGTGGAGGGACAGCGCAGGAGAGGAAGACCCTCGATGAGATGGATTGATTCAGTGACTGGGGTAATGAGAGTATGTGTGTCAGAGACAGTGCAATTGGTACAGGATAGAGCAGGGTTTAGGGCTGTTGTACATAGGGTCGCTATGGGTCGCAAGCGACTCGATGGCACACAACAACAACAACAAGAACAACAACAACATACTATATAGCCTTTTTTAAAGACTCTGCTTGCTGTTCTCTTGTTATATTGCTCTAAAGTGGAAAACTCAGGTATAATATTGATTTGACTTCTTTTTTTTAATAATGAAAATATTTTATTGCAATTTACACAGCTAATTATGTTCCCATTTAATTATTTCTACACTATTTGCTCAGTGACAATGGTTACACTTTTCATTGTGTGTTGACTTTGTCATTATTTCCATTCTGGTTGTTTGGTTTTTAGTAATTTAGTTTCCCTGCTCCCTTGCTTTCTTATCTTTGCTTTTAGCTCCTTAAGTGCTAGGGTTTATAAATAATAAGACATACAGAATAGAAAAGAATACAAAATCATACAATGTCTTTCAAACACCCATACCATCTGGTTTCTGGCTTTTCCTCCAGAACTTTCCAACTGTGGGCAAACAGACTAGAGTGAAGGGATGCAGGGTGTGTGCTGGGGAAGACTGCAGCTAACTGTGAGATAATTGAAGGGTGCTAGAGACACAAGATACAAGACAGGAATCCTGGGAAGGCAAAACCCACAGACTGAGCACGAGGCTGTGTCTTAAGTCAATGAAAAAGCCACCAGAGACTCTTTATAGAGCGAATATATAGTCCCTGTTAAGTGCAAATATTCAGTGCGCTTAGATGCTGACTGGAGTGTCTAGTCCACTCAGGAGTGAGGTGAAAGTAAAGCCTCATGCTCTCCTACTATCAGAAAATCAGCCATTGAAAACCCTGTGGAGAGCAGTTCTCTGTGGAGAGAGTGTGACGCACAGGGGGTCACCCTGAAGCAGAGCTGGTTTGATGCTGTTAGAGGTCATTGGGTCATCGATAGCTCACAGTGACCCCATGGACAAGGGCTCTGAACTCTGTCCTATCCTGACCTGGCTTCACTTCTCCAACACGCTTGAGCCCATCGCTACGGTCACTGTGTCAATCCATCTCATGAGGATCTTCCTCTCTTGCATTAACCCTTTACCTTTTTAAGTACAATGTCCTTCTCTAAGGACTAGCTTCTCCCCATAACTTGTCCAAAGGTGGTGAGATGAAGTTTCATCATCTTTCTTTCCAGGAAGAACTCTGGTTTCGCTTTCTCTAGGACAAGATGAAAGGCCTGCTAAGTGGGGAAGGAGGGACCACAGGGCAGATACTAAAACTGTTTGATTTGGTTATATGTCAAGTCAGGTAGTTGACCCTCCAGCAGGTTTACAGAGGCAGTAAATCACATGGGAGGAGACTGTCCATGAAGCAGCTGGTGGATTCAGACTAGGTCCCCAGAACGTCCTAAAAGCTCTTTAGAACTAAGATATTCATTTGATAGTCATAGCTCCTTTCAATGTGTATTTGGTTGAAACATATAAGATTGCTAACGTTGGACTGTCTTGACTCACAAATATGGTAACTTTTGAAGATAAATTATAACTTTAAAAAATGGAGACATAAGAAAAACAATTATTAGCTATATTTCTTTGATGGTACTATCAGGGTTGATAATAATCCTCTCAGGGTTATTTTTAGGAGCCTTGGTGAAGTAGTTCATAACATACCAGTTGCTAACACCGCAGGGGACTCAGGGGCACATAACAACATACTATATTGCTTGTTTGTTTGGTTTTTTTGTTTGTTTGTTTTATTTAAGCTTCTTGTTTAGAGTCAACAACCTCAGGGGAGGGCCTTTGTATTTAAAGTTGGTTGTTATTATGTTTTGGAGAAAAATTCTTCTTAGTGTTACAGCACTCTTCTGTCAATATGCTGTACTGAGGTAATCTGGGATTGCTGTGATGCTGAACCTTGTGCCATTGGGGTGTCAAATGCCATAACAGTTATTCATGGTGGACAGTGTTTGGTGGAGCGCCCAGTTTAAGACAGGTTTGGAAGCAGGAGTGGCATCCACTTCCTAAACCACATACCTCCGGAAACTCTATGAATTTTGATACATGTCGATAGTTACAGAAAGGCTTCAGGCATTTTATTCATAGGGTCACTATGAGTCGTGCTCGACTTGATGGCAATCAACAACAACAACCTGAAAGGTTAATAGTTTGAATCCACCAGCTGCTTGGCAGGAGACAGATGGGCAGGCTTCCACCACAGTGGGTTTAGTGTTGGATTAGGGTTATTTTAGGAATTTACTCTGTCTTGTCTATAAGATCTTTGCGGTTAAGAATTTTATAATCCATTGTGACACTTTATACTTCGTACTTGATCATGCATCTGTTATTATTATGAATTACTGAGTTGAAATTGACTCATAGCTGTCTCTCCAGTGGGTTTTCAGAGGCAGTGAATTTCACAGAAGGAGATTCTTTTTCTTTTGTGAAGCAGCTGGTGGATTTGAACCTTGTGCCTTTGGGCTGGCTATTTACTCCTTACTATTAAGCAACCAGAGCTCCCTAAGATACATTTTCTTTTCTTTTTGTTGTTGTTGTTGTTATTATGTGCTGTCAAGTCACTTGCAACACACAGCCACCGTATGTACAACAGCTCTGAAGCCTGTCTTTTGCAAACAGCAGCTTGGAAAGGCAGTGTAGCAATTTCAAGCAGGAAAATTCTTCAATCCAGCTTCCATGAAGGTGCTAAGAGAAAGGGGATGAGAATATTTTTTATGAACCTGTCACTGATGTCTATGAGTTTTTCAAAGCAGAAGAGCTAGAATCAACCCAACGAAGCACAGCAGAACCAGGGTAACCCTCCCCTGCCTGGCTGCCCATGGAGGGACTCAAATGATAAGTTACAATAAAACTGGATCTGGTGCAGGCAGAATAGCCGTAACTTGGTAGACTCTGGAGAAAACGGTATCTCTTTTAAGTGAATTTCCCAGAAGGTTTTAAAGTAAATGTCTCAGGATGGCTGCTCTCGTCATTCTAATCTCTGGGGTTAACTTAGTTACCTCAGAATGTCATAAGGACCGGAGGGAAATGGCCTTGATTGCTAATGGAAAACCTCTCTGCTTGTGTAAATTACAAATGGTTCTCCAGTACTCAAAACCTTGATACTAGGAATTGCCACTTCCTGAGCAATTAATACATGCCTGCTGCCATGTGTAAAGAGCTCTGGTGGCCTAGTCCGTTGGGAGTCGTACTGCTGACCCAAAGGCTGCACTTCTCTGGAGGTTCAAATCCACCAGCTGCTCCATGAGAGAGATCATGGGCGATCTCCTGCTGTGAGATTAACAGCCTCTGAAAACTCCCAGGAGGGTGAGCTGTCTTGGTTCTGGTTCAGTGGCACTGAGCTTGTGGTTTTTGAGTCACAGTCTTTAAGCACTTTATCTCATTGTCATGCTTAATCTTCAGGAAAATCTCATTATTCTAGTTGATGTCTATCAGGTCACAGAAACCCCCGAGAAGGTAGGTGACTGTTGTAAGATCACCAGGCAAGTGATAAGGTTGAGATTTAACTCTTTTTCATTCCAAGGATAATGATCTCAGTCACAGGGTTCTGGCTCCTCTTAACACATGAGGCTGCTGAAAAAGGTTGGAGGTTCGAGTCCGCCTAGATGAGCTGCAGTTTTCCTGGTGACCTACTTACGAAAAAATTAAGTGACTGAAACTCCTGGAGCCGAGTTCTAGTCCTACATGCAACCTTTATTTTCACAGATATTCTCACTTCAGGTGTCAGAAAAGTTTGTTGTTAGGTGTCATTGAGGACACTCCAAATCACGAGTCCCCATGTGCAACAGAACAAACCCTCACCTGATTTGTGGCATCATCTCTGCTGTGTTCAAGCCATCATTTCAATCACTGTGTCAGCTCTTCTCATTGAAGATCTTCTCCTTCGCTGATCCTTTAAGCATGAGGTCCTTCTCTAGAACCTGGATCTTCCTAATAGTTGTTGTTGTTGTCATGTGCCGTCAAGTCACTTGCGACTCATAGCGACCCTATGTACAACAGACCTAAAGTCTGCTCTGTCCTGTGCCAATCGCACTGTCTCCAACACACCCATCCCAATTACCCCAGTCACTGAATCAATCCACCTCATAGAGGGCCTTCCCTCCTGCGCAGTCCCTCCACCCTCCCAAACAAGATGTCCCTCTTCAAGGACCGGTCCCTCCTTACAACATGTCCAAAGTATGTTAGATGGAGCGTCAGAATCCTTGCCTCCAAGGAGCAGCCAGGTTTAACCTTTTCCAGGATGAATCTGTTTGTTTTCCTAGCAGTCCATGGTATTCTCCATACTCTTCTCCAGCACCACAGTGCAAAGGTTTCAATTCTCCTTCTATCCTCCTTGGTCATTGTCCAACACTCTGAGGCATAACAAGTGGTTGCAAAGACCATGGCCTGTATCAGACGCACCTTAGTCTCCAGAGAGACACCATTGCTCTTCAGTACTTTGGAGAGGTCCCTAACAGCAGACTTTCCCATTGCAATACACCTTTTAGTTTCCTGGCTACTGATGCTAAGAGTGTTGACTGTGGAGACAAGCAAACTAAAGCTGTGAATAATCTCAATCTCTTCACCATCCATCCTGATGCTGCCAATTGATCCAGTGGTGAGAATCTTTGTCTTTTTGACATTGAGCCTCAATCCATATTGGAGGCTGCAGTCCTTGACCCTCTGCAGCAAGCATTTCAGGTCCTCCTCAGTTTCAGAAGCAGGGTTGTGTCATCTGCATAACTCCTATTGATAAATCATCCACCAATCTTGACCCCACATTTCTTCTCATAGAGCCCAGCCTCCTGGATGATCTGTTCTGCATATAGGTTGAAAGGATCATCCTAATAGTACATCCAGAATATATGAGATGAAGTGTCACCATCCTCACCTCTAAGGGGATTTCTGCTCTCCACAGTAAAGAACACTGGAGAATTGGTCATGGTGGTGGTGTTGTTAGGTGCTGGAGGCAGCTAGGAGGCAATTTATTACAGCTGCTATCTCTCTGGAGACTAAGGTGCGTCTGATACAGGCCATGGTCTTCGCAATCACTTGTTATGCATCAGAGAGTTGGACAATGACCAAGGAGGATAGAAGGAGAATTGATGCCTTTGAGCTGTGGTGCTGGAGAAGAGTATTGAGAATACCATGGACTGCTAGGAAAACAAACAGATTTGTCCTGGAAAGGGTTAAACTGGGTGGCTCCTTGGAGGCAAAGATTCTGAGGCTCCGTCTAACATACTTTGGACATGTTGTGAGGAGAGACCGGTCCCTGGAGAGGGACATCATGCTTGGGAGGGTGGAGGGACAGAGCAGGAGAGGAAGGCCCTCTATGAGGTGGATTGATTCAGTGACTGGGATAATTGGGATGGGAGTGTCAGAGACAGTGCGATTGGCACAGAACAGAGCGGAGTTTAGGGCTGTTGTACATAGGGTCGCTATGAGTCGCAGGCGAATCGACGGCACATAACAACAACAACAACAACATCTTCATCACGGTGGACACTTAAGTCCTATTTTTTCTGCACAGGTTTGATCCTGGTCCTGCCCTGCATAGATGTGTTCGTCAAAGTCGATCTCCGAACAGTTACTTGCAACATCCCTCCACAAGAGGTAATGGAGCTTCAAGATCTGTGACGAGACAGGAAGCCTGAATCTTTCCTGCCCCATGAATAACTAAAACTGATGAAACAGTTGGGCTTTGCTTTGTCAGGAGAATGGAAGTTGGGGCAAGAGCTGAGTTAGTGCAAGACGTGTGATGGTTAGAGAGGAGACCCAGCCACAAGGAGTAGACACTCAGGGGAAATAAGTTATTTCATTATTAGGCTGAGTTATGTCCTCGGTCGGGAGGTTCATTTGGTTCTGTGGTGACCATCAAGTGCTTACAATATCACCTTCCCAGAAACGGTTTTAATAACATCCACTCTTTCTGACACTCACTCACTGCTGTTGGGTCAGAATCAACACAGAGTTGACCCTTTAAGAGGTTGTCAATTGCACAGAGGGATTGTCTCTTTTTCTCCCTTGGAGCTACTGGTGGATTTGAACTGCCGGAGTGCATATCTTTTGGGTTAGCAGTACAACTCCCTGTAGATCACATTGACAGGGTTCCTTTTATTTTTGGCTTTAGATTTTTGTGTTTGGATCCAACAAAGTGGATTGAGTGTGGAGAAGGAGGCAGATCTACCCACATTGAAATTTCCAATACCTTCTCAGTGTTGCATAAAGAGTAAATAAATGATCAAAACCCATAATTGGTAGTTAGGGAAATTGAATAGCTTTTCTAGTCTCCTGCCACCTTCTCATAAGAAGCAGAAAAAGAAAAGGAAATATGAGCAGGACCTAGAAGGTGTGATGGTGAAGGAAATGAGGAGACAGAAAAATTTGCCTTTGTAAATTATTATGAACCCCTGTTCTGGGTTAAGAAATAGCAATGATTCCTTTGTGCCACTGGAGGGAGCTATGGAGTACCAGATTAGGAATTCCCTGCCAATTGCAGCGAAATGTGTGGATGGTGAAGCTTGGCTTGAACGTATTAGAGATAATGAGAATGGGCAGGATAGGGCAGGTTCTGTCATTCTCAGGGTTGCTACGAGGCATAGTTGACTTTACGGTACCTACCAGTGACCTGTTGTGGACATTTTCTGGCTTTACGATAGAGTTTTAGGCTCTGCTCCCATTGGACTCTTAAGAAGTCTCCCACTGTCTCCAAAGCAGCTCGCTGCATCATTCAGAACGATGGATGCTGAAACTCTTTGTAATGAGAATGCTAGTTTTCTTTCTCTGAAGTGAGAACACGGTTTCTGGTGCCATCTAGGTTTCCTAAGCTGCATTGCTGTTCTTTTAAATTGGATGAGTTCTGAAAAGCAGAGAACCTGGGAATGAGGGAAGCTACTGTGTAGAAGCAAGAATTCCCAAAGGGTTATGGGGTTGCATTTCATCCGGGAGTTGCTGATTCTCACCAGGAAAGACTCTGAAGGGTGGTGTGGGGACACATTCTGTGCAAAGGCCTTTCCAAGAGGTGGGAACAGACGTGTAGGGATTTTGTTATTAACTAGAAAGATGTCATATTCAAGCTAACATAGGTTTCCATGATCTGCTGTTACAATTCCACGTTCTCTACCTGTCCCCACAGGAGAGCTTGTGGGCTGGCGGGCATGTTGTGGTTGTTGTTAGCTGCCACCAATTCAGTCCCAACTCTCAGTGAGGCTACACACAACTGAATGACATGACAGGCTGGATATTGGATAGTTGTTGATTTTCAGAAATAGGTTGCCAGTCCTTTCTTCCTACTTCATCTTAGTCCACAAGCTCCACTGACAGCTGTTCAGCACCATGGCAGCACCCAAGCCTCTGCTGATGGCTGGTAGCAGTTGTGCCCAGGGTGCATTGGTGGGGACTGGAACTGCCTGTCCAGGTGGAAGGCGAGTGAGTCACTTCTGTTTGCCAAATCCAGCTGTCAGTTGCCATGGAACCTCACCCTGTCCTCGCTCCACAGATCTTGACCAGAGACTCCGTGACCACTCAGGTGGATGGGGTCGTCTACTACCGGATCTACAGCGCTGTCTCGGCCGTGGCTAATGTCAATGATGTCCACCAAGCCACGTTTTTGCTGGCTCAGACCACACTGAGAAATGTCTTAGGGACACAGACCTTGTCCCAGATCTTAGCTGGCCGAGAAGAGATCGCCCATAGCATCCAGGTAACAACACCAAGACACCTTTACCTCATTCAAGTTGATGGTCAGTGGTACAAACAGGCAGTAAGCTGGGCTGCTAGCAGAGAAACTGCAGGCTGGCATCCACCCAGAGGTGCCTCAGGAGAAAGGTCTGGAGATCAACTCCCAAACAAATCAGCCACTGACAACCATATGGAGCACGGCTCTGCTGGAACATAAGGTTGGCTCAGAGATGACTGTGTTTGTCTGGTCTCTGCTCCACTTTCCGCAGATACCAGAGACAGCATTAGGAATGGTGTGGGGCGCAGGTCCTGCTGGGAGACTGTCTACTGAACAACCACTCTAGGCTTGTTTCAGAAGCCTTCATGAGCTCTAATCCAAAAAAAAACCTACCTGTGAGCTTGCTACTTCCTGTTCCCCTCCCTAACATGTCTTAGTGAAGTAGTAAAAGAAAACTCAAAAATCACTTCATTGGAAAAAAAAAGATAATAGAACCCCTAAGATTTTGTTAAAGGAGAGAAAAAGTTCTAAGTGGCAGAGACAATTTAAGAAATTTACCATCTAACTTAGAGACTATTTGGAAAGAAAATGAACAATAAATTGGCATAGAAAGATGAAAAACAAACCACCTCATTGATGTTGAGTCAGAATCAACTCGTAGCTGACCCTTCACTGGGTTTCCAGAGGCTGTAAATTGCACAGGAAGAGAGTGCCTGATTTTCCTCCACCAAGAGTGGCTGGTGGGTTCAAACCATCAGAGGTGCCACCTATTTGTTAGCAGCTCTGCTCCCTCGCCACTGTTAGGCCACCATGACTCATAAGTTCTGTAATATAATTGAAACTTAGCTGCCACCTGCCTTCTGACGCCGCTGTGTCTCTGCCTCTGGAAACAGACATTACTGGATGATGCCACAGAGCTGTGGGGAATCCGGGTGGCCCGTGTGGAGATCAAGGATGTCCGCATCCCAGTGCAGCTGCAGAGATCCATGGCGGCTGAAGCCGAGGCCACGCGGGAAGCCAGGGCCCGGGTAAGTGCCAAAGACACTCTCTGACCAGTTTATGCATGGGGGTGAGCACCATTTGGGTTTGGGGCAGACTGAGGTGGAGTGGAATACAGGATTAATGACTTACAAGTAATGTCAGGGGAAACAGTTTGCTCGGGGAATGAACTGGATATATTCTGACCCAGTGTGTTTTAGAGAATGGCCTCGCTCTGGAGGGTTTTCAATGGCTGTGATTGTGCAAGGGAGCTCTGATAGTGGGGCACGTAGACAGCTGCACTGCTAA